ATATGCCCAGCCATATTCCCTGGTATTAACCCACACACCAGTGAACACCTGATTTTTGACAAACAATCCAAACTTATAAGATGGAACAAGAGAACATCTTCAACAAATTGTGGTAGCATAACTGGTTGTGAATATGTAGAAGAGTGCAGATAGACCCATGCTTATTCCCTTACACAAAACTTAAGTTGAAATGGATCAAAGACCTCAATATAAATTCAGCTCCACTGAAATATTAGAAGACATAGTGGGAAATACCCTTGATACAGGAGACTGCTTCCTGAACATTACACTAGTAGCACAGCCACTGAGGTCAACAATTGATAAATGGGCCCTCCTGATACTGAGAAGCTTCTGCAAAGCAAAGGAGACAGTCATCAAGACAAAACAGCAGCCCACGGACTGGGAAAAGATATTCACAAACCCCACATCTGAGGAGGGCGGATCTCCAAAATATACAAAGAAATCAAGAATTTAGTCTCCAAAACACCAAACAATCCAATTAAAAAGTGGAGTACAGAACTAAATAGACAATTCTCAATAGAGGAATCTAAAATGGCTGAAAGACATATTAGAAAATGTTCAACATCCTTAGCCATCAGGGAAATGTAAATCAAAACAACTCTGAGATACCATCTTACTCCTGTCAGAATGGCCAAAATCAAAAAACACCAATGGCAGTTGATGCTGGAGAGGATGTGGAGAAAGGGGACCACTCCTCCACTGCTGGTGGAAGTGCCAACTCCTACAGCCCACTTTGGAAATCAGTATGGGAGTGCCAACTTGTACAGCCACTTTAGAAATCAGTATGGCAACTCCTCAAGAAAATGGGAATCAGTCTACCACAAGATACAGCAATTCCACTCTTAGGCATATACCAAAAGAAGCACATTCATACAACAAGGACATCTGTTCAAAGATGTTCATAACAGCACTATTTGTAAAAGCCAGAAACTGGAAGCAGCCTAGATGCCCTCAACTGAAGAACGGATAGAGAAAATGTGGTACATTTACACAATGGAGTACTACTCAGTGGAAAATAAAAAACAACGGAATCTTGAAATTTGCAGGAAAATGGATGGAACTAGAAGAAACCATTCTGAGCGAGGTAACCCAATCACAAAAAGACAAACATGGTATGTACTCACTCATATGCAGATTTTAGACATAGAGTAAAGGATTACCAGCCTACATTCCACACTGCCAGAGAAGCTAGTAAACAATGAGGAACCTAAGAGAGACATACATGGTCCCCTGGAGAAGGGGAAAGGGCCAAGATCCACCGAGCAAATTGGGAGCATGGGAAGAGGGGGGAGGGAGCTAGGAGAATGAG